TGTAAAACCAGACGACTGTTCAGAGTCATCCCAATTAATATGGATCTTGAGAGTCCATGTAAACTCGGCTGGACAAGCATTGCAGATTTTGTTCTCTAAAGGACATTAGTGAACCAGACGTCATTTATAACAATTGTTGATAATTTCATACTCATTTTTTACTGAGTCCACCTTTATGTTTCAGATTGTATTTAATGAATACAAATTCCATCAGTTGCCATGCATAAGATTTGAATTTAGACCCCAAAACATTAGCCTGGGCTACTGGATTAGCAGTGCAATGCCACCATTTCCAGCTTTGCTCTTTTGGCATCGAATTACATTGAAGGCGCTCTTGACTCTTACTGTGAAGCAGCCTCCCACTGAAGAAACATTGATTGCGAGGGATTGTGGATTTTTGCTGTCTTTAGCTGTTCTGGCCTACATATGACTCCAGACATACAATAATGTGGTTAGCTGCTCTTTGAAATAGCTTAGTGAGCCATTCAGTTGTATCAGCCTGCTGAAGAGTCTGATCAAAGGAACAAAACCGGATGGATCACTTGACAATGTCACCAGAACAATAAAGGCAAGCACAGAACAAAAAAAACAGAAATCCGAATGTTGGACATCTGAAACAAAAACGGAAATAGCTGGAAAAACTCAGATCTGACAGCATCTGTGGAGAGAATACAGTTAATGTTTTGGGTCCAATGACCCTTTTTCAAAACTGGTTATATCAAAGAAAAGGTGGTATATATACTGAAGATAGGGGCAGGGAGTGGGAAGGAGTGAACAATGGGTGGAAATGGAGCCCGGAGAGAGAGAGAGGACAACAGTTGGGCAGATAAAGGAATGAATAATGGTGAGGTGGGGGGACAGAAAATATGCTAATGGGGATCAATAGAAAATGGGTGCTCAGCTCATGTGATGACAAAGCCTGGTGTCTAGGGGTGAGGGAAGGGCATGGAAGAAGGTGTTCTGCCCTAAAATTATTAAACTTGACATTGAGTCCTGAAGACTGCAGGGTCCCCAAGCTATTCTTCCAGCTTGCACTGAAGAACTTTGTTGGAGCACTGCAGAAAGCCTGATCCAGAAATTTTGCCCAGAGGACATGGTGGTAGGGGTGAAATGGCAGGGAACTGGAAACTCAGGGTCATTTTTACAGGCAGAACATTGGTGCCTCCCAGTCTGCATTTTATCTCCCCAGTGTAGATGAAACACGTTGTGAGCACCAAATACAGTAGATTAGATTGAGTGAAGTGCAAGTAGATTGCTGCTTCACCTTAAATAGTGAGGAGAGAAGAAGTAAACAGGCAGGTATTGCACTTTCTGCAAGGGAAGAGGCTGTGGGGGTGTGGAGAGGTGTTGGAATTGGAGGAGGGCCGACCAGAACATCCCGGAGGGAACGGCCCATGTGGAAGCTGACAAGGGAGGGAAATGTATGTCTGGTGGTGGCATCCTGCTGGAGGTGGCAGCAACGGTGACTTAGGATTCTTTGGATGTGATGCCAGTGGGGGGATAACGAGGACCACAACGACCTTATTGGTTTTGTGGGAGGGAAATGAAAGGGTGAGGGCAGGAGATGGGTAAGATATGGCTAAGGGCCCTGTTGACCACATGATGTGAAATTCTTGGTTGAGAAAAAAGATAGACATTTTTGAGGACCCCCACCATGGAAGATGCATCATCAGAACAGATGTGTCAGAGACAGAGAAACTGGGAGAATGGCAAGGTGTGAGAGAGAGGACAACAGTTGGGCAGATAAAGGAATGAATAATGGTGAGGTGGGAGGACAGAAAATATGCTAATGGAGATCAATAGTAAGTGAAACTGGGTTCTCAGCCCATGTGATGACAAAGCCTGGTGTCTAGGGGTGAGGGAAGGGCATGGAAGAAGGTGTTCTGCCCTAAAATTATTAAACTTGACATTGAGTCCTGAAGACTGCAGTGTCCCCAAGCTATTCTTCCAGCTTGCACTTTACAGGAAAAGGGGTGTGAGGATGTGTAGTCCAAGTAACTGTGAGAGTCAGTCAGTTTGTAATGGATATCAGTCACCAGCCTATCTCTAGAAATGGAATCAGAGATGTCGATGAAGGGAAGGAAGGAGTCAGATGAACCAGGTGAAGGTGAGAACTGGATGGAAATTGGGGAGGGAATGATCTTGTGATACTATTGCTAAACTATTAATCAGAAATTGAGCTAATGTTATTAGGACCCGGGTTCGAACCCCACTATGGCACATGGTTAAATTTAAATTCAATTTAAAAAATCAGGAGTTAAGAATCTACTAATGACCATGAAACCATTGCTGATTGTCAGAAAAATTAATCTCAGTCATTAATGTCCTTTAGGAAAGGTAATTTGTCATCCTGATACAGTGCGGAGCTGGAGGAACACGGCAGGTCAGGCAGCATCAGAAGAGTAGGAGAGTCAATGTTTCAGGCCTAAACCCTTCATCAGTCCTGACACTCCTACTCTTCTGATGCTGCCTGACCTGCTGTGTTCCACATCGATTCTGACTCCAGCATCTGCAGTTCTTCAATTTGTCATCCTGACCTGGTTGACCTATATGTGACTGCAGACCCACAGCAACGTGGTTGACTCTTAACTGCCTCTGAAATGGCCTAACAAACCACTCAGTTGTATCAATTGCTACAAAGTCTCAACAAAGAAATGAAATCAGATGGACCACCCGGCATTGACCTCGGCGCCAGAAAAGACAACAGAAACTGCCCTGTCGATCCTGAAAAGTCCTACATACTAACATGTGTGGACTGTTGCCAAAATTGGGACAGCCTGACATAGTCATACTCATGGAATCATACTTGAAAGACAACGTCCCAGACACCACCATCACCATCCCTGGATATGACATGTCCTACTGGCAACCTTTTTAGCATGTCTTCTTTATCTATCACTATACTGTTCAGTTTTCAACTGGGCAACTATCACTATCTTCTGATTTGGTAAAGACAGAAGCAAAATATTTATTTAGTACCTCTGCCATACCCTTCACTTCAGTGAGCAGCTATCCCTGCTTGTTCCTTATGGGCCCCACTAAACTTTTACTATTAATATGTTTGAAGAACATTTTACTAATTGTTTTAGTGCAGCTGCAATCCTTTCCTTATGCTTCCTCTTATTCTTCCTCATTTCAGACTTAGCCTCTCTCCTGCATTTGAGATACCCTTCCTGATTTCTGTTGCTATTGTTATTCATAAGCATCATATGCTTCCTTATTTTCTCATTAAAATCCTTAATCATCCAGGGTACTCTACCTTTGGATACCCATATTTATGTTTCATGGGTTTGTGCCTAGCTGGCACCCTATTCATCTCACATTTGAAATTCTCTCATTTTTCAGCCACTGTTTTATCCATCAAAATGTGTTTTCATTCAATGTACACCTGTTCAACTTTTAGACCACTAAAATCTGCCTATTTCCGGTCTAGGATCTTAACTGTAGACTTTTTTAAAAATCCTTTTCCAAGTGTTCCAGGAAGTTCTCCTGCCCACATTGCAGGAAGTTCTCCCCTTCCATGCCAGACACCCTACTTTTTTCCCCAGACGACTCTCCGGTAATTGAAATCACCAAGTATCACAACCCTACCTGTCCTGCAGATTTCCATAGCCTACTTACAAATGCTCTCTTCTACTTCCTCCCTACTATAATAAATACAAGGTCACTGCTCCCTTCCTGTTGCTCACCTCCAACTATAAAGATTCTAATTCAGGAACCGTATCTCTTCAAGGGCAACGATACCATCTTTGACCATGACACCCCCCCACTTTTTTTTTTAAACCCACACTGCTTCTACTAAAAGCACTATGTCCCAGGATATTAAGTATCCAGTCCTGGTCTGGCTTGAGCCACATTTCTGTCAATGCTACTATGTCATATCCCCCAGCTCAATTTCTGTTTCCAGTTCCGCAGTTTTCTTCACTATACTCAACGCATTTATGTTCATATAATTTAACTCTGCCCTTATCTCTTTCTTGCCTACTGGAAGGCAATCATTTCTTTGTTCGCTGTCAACACTCAAACCTTCTTTCATTTCTTTTTCTCCATTCACCATCTTTTCTCTTTTACCCACGCTGGTACTTCCAAAACTAGGCCCATTTGTCAACCCACACCACTGCCTTACAAGTTTAAATGGCTGAACATGAACCTGAAGTCCCCAGCCTTTCCCAAAAGCCTAAGCTTGGATTTGATATTTTGTCCTGTGCAGTCTGAGCAAGTGCAATGTATCTAATTTTCCAGGATAACAGTCCATTCAATCAGCTACATTGAAGCAATATTTTCCTTAGCTTTCAGCACATTCTGTAAAGCACTTTTTCTTCAAATAATTTTGTAAAAGAAAGCAAGAAATTTCAAAATCATCAATGAGTTGACATTTCTCTTTTTATTTTAAACACTTTTTTAAGGATAAAACTATTCTTCACAAGCACAAAATCAGCTTATGATGAATCAGCAGCCCTTTTACTAAAAATGAGCAGCGGGACCCTTCAACAGAAGAGGATGAAGATTTGGAGAAAATCATGTTTTCTTTTCCTGTTTTACAGAAGGATTGCAGTGTACTACACCGGAGAATACAGAAAAAGGATAGACACTACCGATAGATCTTGACCATCACCCAAGGAACGGCTACTGCGGGAAGGCATCCAGTCCCTTCACAGCATTGCTCAATGCAGAGAAGGTTGGGTAGTGAAACGATCATCTGGAAATCGGTCGGGTCAGGGGAGCTTTGACTTATCATCAGCTCTGAAACTGGTTAGCGGTGTGGAGCCTTCCATCAGAACCAACCTTTTTGAAGGTTCGGCTGTGGGTGATCAGTCAGGGTGAGGCTGGGAAGAAGTGTGAGTGGCTCCAAGTGTGGTGAGAGCTTCAGTCATTCATCAAGCCTGATGAACTACTGATTCATTCAATCAGAGATTGTTTGAATGTGAAGTGTGTGAGGAGGGCTTCACAGATTCATCAAATCTCCAAACATACAAGGTGCATTTGTTTTATAATTGTTAACACAAAGTCAGCTACATGGAACAAAAACCTTTCAAATGTGAGGTGTGTGGTAAAGCTTTTGTTGCCTCTTCGAGCCTGCTGAGACACCAGAGGAATCACACAGGGAAGAAACCCTTCAGGTGTGAAATTTGTAAGATGGCTTTTACCCAATCCTCGGATCTGCTGAAGCACCAGAGAATTCATACTGGGGAGAAACCATTCACATGTAAGGTGTGTGACAAATCATTCTCACGATCTGAGAACCTCCAGACACACCAACGCATGCACACTGGGGAGAAACCATTCACATGTGAGGTATGTGATAAATCGTTTTCATCATCATCTGAACTCCGTGTACACCAACGTATTCACACAGGAGAGAAGCCATTTACGTGCAAGGTGTGCAACAAATCATTCTCGCAGTCATCGAACCTCCGCGCACATCAGCATGTTCACACAGGGGAGAAACCTTTCTTGTGCAAGATGTGTGGCAAATCATTCTCAGACTTAGCAGGACTCTGTATACACCAACGCATTCACACTGGGGAGAAACCATTCACATGTGGGCAGTGTGACAAGTCATTTTCACAATTATCAAACTTCCGTACACACCAGCACATTCACACAAAAGAGAAACCGTTTAAGTGTAAGGTTTGCAAGAAATCATTCTCAAGGTCATCACACCTCCTGCTCCATCAGAGGGTTCACACAAGGGAGTAAACATTCAAAAATGAGGTTTATGACTAAACTTTAGTAATGTTTTTACTTCTGGGATGCATGCAGATTTGAATGGGAGAAACTTCTCAGGAGTGACGTGTGTGACAAAGCTTTCACACAGTGTCTACTCAGCTCCATCAACACACACACACAGGGGAGAAACTCGATCAGTTGTTCAGTCTGCTGGAACATCAGCAAACACACAACAGGGTAACCAATAGATGACAAGTCGTATCAATTAACTGTTGGATTTGTGAATTGTCTAGCCAAGTCCTGTTATCAGTGTGTAACGGTGTACACAGTCTCACAATTCAGGGTGTTCAGTGGGACTGGGACGTAGAACAAGAAGCAGCTTTCACTCCCATCGAACACCTAGTGATGACATCACCAGTGCTGAGGGATTATGATGTCAACAATGGAGCCACCCTGCAGTGTGATGTCAGTGACACAGGACTTGGAGCAACCTCCAGGCAGTGAGGGCAACCCGTTAGGTTTGTATCCAGTGCATTAACACACACTGAATAACAATGTGCACAAATGGAGAAACAGAGTCTGGCTATTGTCTTTATTTGTGAGCTTTTCAACCAGCACCTATTTGGAGAGATAAAATAATGGTTGTGTCTGAGCACAAGCCAAATCAAAGCATCTTTCTCCAATCACTTCTATCTGGTCCACAGTATTTGCAAAGGATGTTACTTCATTTGCAGAGATATCACTTGGAAGTGAAATACAACCAATGAAAGCAAAACTGACATACCGTCGAGAGCGACACTCTCTGAAGGAAGTTGATGCTGAAACAAACTGTGATATTTTCCAGATTCAACAAGAAACAACAGCACAACATGCTCTGAAAATCACTAACCTAACAGACATCTAATCTGATAGACAAGAGTCTTGCTCAGATGAAACCAACTACACATCAAATCACCAAGCTAAACAAGATAAACAGCTACTCATGACTCGTGACATTCCCAAACAGGCCATGGATGAATCTTGGAGTACAGCTCTTCACTCTCACTGGAACTGATCATCTTGTCACAGTTGATTACTATTCAGACAATGGTGAGTTAGAGCAGCTGATGAATGTCTGACAGCACACTTCAGTTGGCACGACTTACTTGACATTGTGATCAGTGACGATGACTTTAATTCATCAGTCAAAAATTCAGATACTTCAGCACTACACATCATCTCCACACTAGTGAAAATTGCCAAAAACATCATTTAAAAAATCAGCCAGTTCTGGCAATGATGTGTAGAAGATAATGTTGGAGTGGAGAAACATTACTGAAGACATGACAAGTTGACAAGTCCACTACCTAATGTCACTATCCACCCATACTATTGTTCAAAATGCTGAAAAAACTGAGGTAGAAATAGGAATGAGTTACAAGACCAAAGTGAACCAACAACCAAATTTCACTTTGATAAAGCTGCCAAATCATTTCCAGGGCTAATTGTTAGGGAGCCAGTCAGAATACAGACATTTCAATGCACTTCACGGGAATCAGCTCACTTGACAATAGGGACCCATGGAGAGAAGGTGTCACCTCAGTTTTAACACAAAGCAACTGAAAATCCAGATCCATCATCAGAACTGCAGTCATCTATGTGCATTGTAGAAGCTGTTCCTTCATAGCAGGTAACTAATGAAACAGTTCAATGACTGACTGAACACGAAACTGAATGATCATCATGGAGGTCAAATGTTCGCCAATAAATGCAACAAATCAGCAGCAACAGTTACCACAGCAACATTCCAAAAGAATCACGAGCAGACACCAGATGAACAGCCAACTTCTATGCACAACATAAGATCTATCAATGCAGGATCATTTTCTTCATGGAATCTGTATGTGAAGTAACTTACAAGCAAGTGTATGCATTTCTTTTGAAATGAACAGAGGAATGTTTGGATAAATTTTACACTCTTGATTTGAATTATTGTTGTCACGTACCTAAGTACAGTGAAAAGTTTTGTTTTGCAACCAGTTCAGGCCGATCATGGCAAACAAGGCCATACAGATCATTGGGTGTTTAGACAAAGTGAGGCATACAAGATTACGACTGCACGGGAGGTGCACAAAAGCAAGGTCAACACTAGATTTGAAATTAAGGAGGTCTGTTCGGCAGTCGAATAACAGCAGGAAGAAGCTGTTCTTGAACCTTTTGGTGTGTGTGTGTTCAAACTTCTGTATCTTCTACCTTACAGAAGAGGTTGGAAGAGAGTATTACAGGGGTAGGAGGGGACTTTGATAATGTTGGCAGCCTTTCCTCAGCAACAAGAGTAAATAGAGTCCACAGATAGGAGGTTGGCTTCCGTGATGGTCTGGGCTGTGCACAACTTTCAGTAGTTCCTTACAGTCCTGGGCAGAGCAAGCGGTTATGTACCCAGATAGAGTGCTTTCTGTTGTGCATCTATATAAAAGTTGGTGATTGTCCTTATGGACATACCAAATTTCCTAAACCTCCTGAGGAAGAAGAAGTGTTGTTGTCCTTTCTTGACCACTGCATCTGCATGGGAGGTCCAGGACAGATTGTTGGTTATTGTTACCCCTAGGAACTTGATGCCCTTGACCATCTCCATTGATGTAGACGGAGTGTGTCCTCCCCCTTTCTTTCTGAAGTCAATGAGCAGTTCTTTTGATTTGCTGATATTGAGAGAGAGAGATTGTTATGAATAGAATACAATCCCTCTAGTTGGAAACAGGCCATTTAGCCCATCGAGTCCTCACCGAATCTCCAAAGAGCAGCCTATCCAGACCCAAACCTCTACCCTATCTCTGTAACCCTGCAGTTCCCATGACTAACCCATCCAGCTTGCACATCCCTGAACAATATGGGCATTTTAGCATGGCCAATTCACCTAATCTGCATATCTTTGGACTGTGGGAAGAAACCCACGCAGACATGGGGACAAGATGCAAACTCCACACAGACAGTCGCCCAAGGCTGGAATCGACCCTGGGTCCATGGCGATATGAGGCAGCAGGGCTAACAACTGAGCACTGTGCTGCCCATGCTCTATCCCTGGGTAGTCTCAAACCATCAGCCTTTTGGTTAATGACTGATCACACTGAACAATTGCACCACAACACCAACGTCTCTATCTTCTTTCCATAGAACATAGAACATTACAGCGCAGTACAGGCCCTTCGGCCCTCGATGTTGCGCCAACCTGTGAAACCAATCTGAAGCCCATCTAACCTAAACTATTCCATTATCATCCATATGTTTATCCAATGACCATTTAAATGCCCTTAAAGTTGGCAAGTCTACTATTTTTGCAGGCAGGGCATTCCACGCCCTTACTACTCTCTGAGTAAAGAGAGTATTAATAAGTTTGAAGTAATTATGTGTAAATAAAGGTTTTAGTGCAGTAGCAATTTTACACAACACATGGAACATTGTTTAATGTTAGTCGTGTTAGTCAAAATATTTTTGGAGCAACATGAGTTTCCTGAAGTTTGAGAAACTGACTGGTGGAATGGAGGTGACTTTGAGCAGTAGATCAGGTGGAGATTTAAACTTGTTATTTTCCTATCTGAATAAAACCTCACTTATTGCAGCTGCTGTCTCAGTTCCCCTGGTAGATGTTGACAGAGATTTCTAGTGTGAGAATAGCATCCTTCATCCTCAGAGGCTTTCAAACTGACATCATCAGTGGGGATGTGTATCCTTGGATGTGTTTGACAGCAGATCAGAAGAGGAAGACCCACAACGCCCAAGGCAGTGATGAGGTGCAGTGATGAGGTGCAGTGATAAGATCAGCACATGCACAGGATGGAAGGGTGCAGACCTGATTCTCATGGACAAGATGAGCTCAGAGAGACCACGAGGAGAACAACTGGAAAAGATTTGAATTCAGGACTAGAACAGGGAGCACTCCTGGAAATGTGTTCCGGGTTTTTAAAGGAATTTAGATAATTTTAGGTTAGTTCAGTTTGGTTGAGCTTGCCTAACTTGAAATCTTGAATTTACCCATTTAATGCACATAGTTCAAAGGCTTCAAGTTCAACCAGAAGATACCATCAGGCAAGACAAGATATTGAATTAATGAATAATATCAGTGTTTAGTAAGTACAATCAAATAAGACATTCATTTAACAACAAAGAACTATTTAAGGAACAAACCAATGACACAAAGTTACACATCAGAAACATAAGACCAACTATTAAAAGTTGTAGATTAGAGTTCATGGCCAGTGTATTTTTCTCAGAGTGAAGGGCCAGGGCAGCAAATCAAGGGAACCCAAGGGATATCAAGAGTTTGATTAAAAAAGGAAGAAAGCACATTAGATAAAAAGCATTAAAACAAGAGAATCCCTTCAAAAGGGGTGCATGAAGGGGGTGCTTAAAAAAAGAAATCAGGAGAGCAAGAAGAGGCCACAAAATATCATTGGCAGAGAGGATTAAGGAAAATCTAAAGACATTTACCAGCAAGAGGATTACCAGGGAAAAATTGGGGCCTATTAGAAACCAAAAAAGCAATCTGCGCGTGGAGCCAGAGGACGTGGGTGAAGTCTTAAATTACTATTTTTTTTATCTGTATCCAGAGGAAAAAGACATTGTAGCCAAGGATCTGAATTGGGATGGTGAGATTCTAGACCGTGTAATGATTAATAATGAGGAGTATTAGATGTTTTAACAAGCATAAAGACACATAAATTGCCAGGGCCGGCTGCAGTGAGAGGCAAGGAAGGAGATTGCTGGGGCCCTGGTGGAGAAATTTAAAATTTTGCTGGCCACAGATGAAGTGCCAGATGACTGGACAATTGTTAATGTGCTTTCTTTGCTTAAGCACAGCAGGGATAAGCCAGATAATTACAGACCAGTGAGTCTGACAGCGGTAGTGGGGAACTTATTGGAAAAAGTTCTGAGGAACAGGATTAATCATCACTTGAAAGATAGGGATTGATCAGGAACAGCCAGCATGGATTTGTTGGGAGTTCCTCTCTGACTAATTTAGTTGAGTTTTTTGAAGAAGGTGACTAAATATATTGATGAGAGTAGTGTGGTTGATGTGGTTTACGTGGACTTCAGTGAGGTCTTTGACAAGGGCCCACATGGAAGGCTGGTCCAAATGATGACAGCCCATGGCATTTAAGGCAAGTTGACGAACTGGCTCCAAAATCGGCTTACAAATAGGGTGATAATGGAGGGTTTTTGTGATTGGAAGTCTGTGACCACACAGGGATAGGTGCTGGGACCCTTGCTGTTTATTATGTACATTAATGAATTTGATATGAATGTAGAAGGTATAATTGTTAATTTTCATACGATGACACAAAAATTATTGGTGTTGTTGATTGTGAGAAAGGTGGTCTCAGGCTACTATGACATTGATCAGCTGGTAAAATGGCAAAGCAAGACAAATTTGGAATTTAATCCTGATTTGTGTGAGGTGATGCCGTTTTTAAGGTCTAATAAGGGACAGATATACACAACACATGGTACATCCTTATGGAGTTCTGAGGAACAAAGGGACCTTGGTGTACAAGTCCATATATCCCTGAAGGTGTCAGCACAGGTAGACAGGGTGATGAAGAAGGCATGCAGGATGTCTGTCTTCATTAGCCAGGGCATAGAATATAGGGGCAAGGAAGTTTTGTTCCAATTTTATAAAACATTGGTTAGGCCACAGGTAGAATATTGTGTGCAGTACTGGTCACTATACTATTGGAAAGATTGATTGCACTGAAGAGGATGCAGAGGAGATTCACCAGGATGGTGGATGGGATGGAAAGTCTCAGTTATGAAGAAAGACTGTTTAGGCTGGGTTTATTTTCCCTGGAACAGAGGAGGCTAAGTGGGTATCTAATTGAGGTATACAAAATTATGAGAGACATAGACAGGGTAGATCATGGGAGTCTTTTCCCTTTGGTAGATGTGTCCAAGACCAGAGGACGTATGTTTAAGGTGAGAAGTAAGTGGTTTAGAAGGGATCTGAGTAAACATTTTCTCACCAGAGGGTGGTAGAAATCACCTTCTTGCAACACTTAAGAGGCATCTGAACAAGCACTTAAAAATCCCAAGACACAGCAAGCTATGGAACAAGTGCA